TGAACACAGATGCGAAAATTCTCACCAAAATACTAGTCAATAGGATCCAACAGTACATTAAAAGGATTATACACCACGACCAAGTGCGATTTATTCCAGGGCTTCAAGGTTGGTTCAACATCCGCAAATCAATCAATGTGATACAACACATTAATAAAAGAAAGAACAAGAACCATATGATACTCTCAACAGATCCAGAAAAAGCATTTGGCAAAGTACAGCATCTCTTCCTGATCAAAACTCTTCAAAGTGTAGGGATAGAGGGTACATACCTCAATATTATCAAAGCCATCTATGAAAAAAACCACCGCAAATATCATTCTCAATGGAGAAAAACTGAAAGCATTTCCGCTAAGGTCAGGAACACGGCAGGGATGTCCATTATCACCACTGCTATTCAACATAGTACTAGAAATCCTAGCCTCAGCAGTCAGACAACAAAAGGAAATTAAAGGCATCCAAATCGGCAAAGAAGAAGTCAAACTATCACTCCTCGCAGATGATATGACACTGTATGTGGAAAACCCAAAAGACTCCACTCCAAAACTGCTAGAACTTGTACAGGAATTCAGTAAAGTGTCAGGATATAAAATCAATGCACAGAAATAACTTGCATTTCTCTACACCAACAATAAGACAGAAGAAAAAGAAATTAAGAAGTCAATCCCATTTACAGTTGCACCCAAAACCATAAGGTACCTAGGAATAAACCTAACCAAAGAGGCAAAGAATCTATACTCAGAAAACTATAAGGTACTCATGAAAGAAACTGAGGAAGACACAAAGAAATGGAAAAACGTTCCATGCTCCTGGATTGGAAGAACAAATATTGTGAAAATGTCTATGCTACCTAAAGCAATCTACACATTTAATGCAATCCCTATCAAAATACCATCCTTTTTTTTTCAAAGAAATGGAACAAATAATCCTAAAATTTATATGGAACCAGAAAAGACGTCGAATAGCCAAAGGAATATTGAAAAAGAAAGCCAAAGTTGGTGGCATCACAATTCTGGACTTCAAGCTCCATTACAAAGCTGTCATCATCAAGACAGTATGGTACTGGCACAAAAACAGACACATAGATCAATGGGACAGAATAGAGAGCCCAGAAATAGACCCTCAACTCTGTGGTCAACTAATCTTCGACAAAGCAGGAAAGAATGTCCAATGGAAAAAAGACAGCCTCTTCAACAAATGGTGTTGGGACAACCGGACAGCCACATGCAGAAAAATGAAACTGGATCATTTCCTTACACCACACACGAAAACAGATTCAAAGTGGATGAAGGACCTCAATGTGAGAAAGGAATCCATCAAAATCCTTGAGGAGAACACAGGCAGCAACCTCTTCGACCTCTGCTGCAGCAACATCTTCCTAGGAACATCACCAAAGGCAAGGGAAGCAAGAGCAAAAATGAACTATTGGGATTTCATCAAGATCAAAAGCTTTTGCACAGCCAAGGACACAGTTAACAAAACCAAAAGACAACTGACAGAATGGGAGAAGATATTTGCAAAGGACATATCAGATAAAGGGCTAGTGTCCAAAATCGATAAAGAGCTTAGCAATCTCCACACCCAAAGAACAAATAATTCAATCCAGAAATGGGCAGAGGACATGAACAGACATTTCTGCAAAGAAGACATCCAGATGGCCAACAGACACATGAAAAAGTGCTCCACATCACTTGGCGTCAGGGAAATACAAATCAAAACCACAATGAGATATCACGTCACACCAGTCAGAATGGCTAAAATTAACAAGTCAGGAAATGACAGATGGTGATGAGGATGCAGAGAAAGGGGAACCCCCCTACACTGTTGGTGGGAATGCAAGCTGGTGCAACCACTCTGGAAAACAGCATGGAGGTTCCTCAAAATGTTGAAAATAAAACTACCCTATGACCCAGCAATTGCACTACTGGGTATTTACCCTAAAGATACAAAAGTGATCTGAAGGGGCACGTGCACCTGAACGTTTATTGCACCAATGTCCACAATAGCCAAACTATGGAAAGAACCTAGATGTCCATCAACAGATGAATGGACAAAGAAGATGTGGTATATATACACAATGGAATACTATGCAGCCATCAAAAGAAATGAAATATTGCCATTTGCGATGACGTGGATGGAAGTAGAGGGTATCATGCTTAGCGAAATAAGTCAATCGGAGAAAGACAACTATCATATGATCTCCCTGATATGAGGAAGTGGGGATGCAACATGTGGGGGGTTAAGGGGGTAGGAGAAGAATAAATGAAACAAGATGGGATTGGGAGGGAGACAAACCATAAGTGACTCTTAATCTCACAAAACAAACTAAGGGTTGCTGAGGCGAGGGTCGTTGGGAGAGTGGGGTGGGGTTATGGACATTGGGGAGGGTACATGCTATGGTGAGTGCTGTGAAGTGTGTAAACCTGGCGATTCACAGACCTTTACCCCTGGGAATAAAAATACATTATATGTTTCTAAAAATTAAAAAAAAGTTACAATTAACTTCCATTATTTATTTTGTCTCAACATGTCCAAAATGATTTTAATATCTAATCAATATAAAAACTTACTAAATAAACTTCTAACGTCTTTATACTAAGTCTTCAGAACTAGTGTAAAGGTTTTAGAACACCCTAATTTTTACTAGTTATGTAGAGGAAGAGGTGTTTTTGAACATTATTAATGAAGATGCATTTTGGAGGAGAATTTGACAATATTTATCAAATTAAAAATTTGAATGATCCAGGGTTCTATTCCTAGAAATCCATACTCCAAAAATACTAATATCCATATAAATATTACAGATTTGTAGATGTAGACATTTACTGCAGTGTTGTTTGTAACAGGAAAACATTGGAAAAAGGCTAAATGTCCTTGTCTGATAGGGGTTTCATTTAATAATTATGATATTTCCAGACAGCGAGGTACTCCATAACCTTTAAAAAATGTGGGAACTCTTTAGGTTAACTGAGTTTTTATAATGAGTTAAATAAATATTAACATGATATAATCATGTAAAATACTTGGATTGTGTCTGGCACATAGTTAATATTATTTGCAGTTATTATGATTAATTATTATTATTAGTGATATGGAAGAATCTCCACATACGTTAAGTGAAAAAGAAATGCAAAGTATAGAACTATGTGTTACCATTATTTGTGTAGAGGGGAAAAAGAATATATATGTATTTGCTTGTATAGTTGTACAGTATCTGTGAAAGACTGATAACATTGATCATATTTGGAGTGGTAAACTAGACAGTGGGGGTGGGGATAGAGACTTTCCACAGTGTTCTTTTTTCTACCTTTTGAATTTGATCCATGATGAATGCAGTACTTTGTGAAAAAATTAAAATGTAAATCAAATTTATTTCTCTTAAATATTTTTGAGAAATCCATACCTTACCATTAAATTATTTCTACAATTAATATGTATTATTATTTTAATCAAGAAAAATAATATAGGATATTTTTATTTCAGTTCTGTAGAATGGCTAGATGATATGAGATTCTGGGCAGATTTAATTTTTAATTAATTTTTGATTAATCAGAAGCACGTGGTTTCAAAATGTATATGACTTTTGGAAATATTTCTAAGTTGCCTTTATGTTGTCACAAGAAAGATATACTTAATAAAATCTGGTTTTGCAGGACATTACGTTAATGCCCTAATATAAACTTTTTTGTGTGCAAGTGATATTCTAAGAGTTGAGGTCTTGTGAAGAGGATGGAAGAATTCTAGTCATTCAAATTTTACAGTATTGACCATCCTGTTTATCATGTTTTCTGGACAATAGGTATGATAATTTTTTATTTGAAATATATAGCTCTTTCTTGTTCATGAGAACTTACTGTCACTTGTGTTTTAGGATTTGGAGTGGATCAGTTACGAGATGACAATCTTGAGACTTACTGGCAATCAGATGGCTCCCAGCCTCATTTAGTAAACATCCAATTCAGGTAAAACATTTTTGGATTTTTCAGTTTGTGTAGGTTAAATGGACAAAGCGATCTATTTTATTTACATAAAATTGAAAGGGATAGAAATTATAGTGAAATGCACTTAACTCTGATTTATTTATAAGTCTTGAGATTATTTTTCTATGCCTCTAGATTGTGTTTTAAGTTTACTAAGTCTTTTGTGAAATTTTTATAGTACTTTACACGGGTCCTTTTACATAGAGATTTCTTAAATATACTTTTTAATATGATTTATTTTGGAAAAATATGCTTTGCTTGTGACTCAAAGCAATGAATTCCTTAATGCATCTCATTAATTACATCTGAAGTGATAATAGTAAGTTCATTAGGTATAGTCTATTCACGTAATTCTCAAAGTTGTATTTCCATTTGGAAAAAAAATGTTTTAACCTAGGACCTCTAAGGATATTTTGAGTTTTGAAGTGCTTACTTTCTCAGGGAAAGGAAAATGACTGTGTTTTTCAATTGCTTTGAATTTATTGAGATAGATGGAAACCAGCTAACTTGATTATTTTGCCCATTTATATAATCTATTTTGACATTTTATAGCATTGTATTTTTAATTTTTCTATTCTTTTTAAAAATTTATTCTTTTTTTTTTCTTTTTATATTCTTTTTAAAAAGATTTTAAAGTAATCTCTACACCCAATGTAGGGCTTGAACCACAACCCCAAGATCAAGAGTCACGTGCTAAGTTGCATAATTAAGCCAACCAGGTACCCCTTTAGTTTGTTTTTCTCACTGAGGGTACAGATCAGCAAATTTCTTTTTCTTTCTTTCTTTTTAAGATTGATTTATTTATTTGAGAGAGAGAGGGGGCATGAGCGAGCACACAGTGGGAGAGGGAGAGACAGACTCCCTGCTGATCAGGGAGTCCGTTGTGGGGCTTGATTCAGGGACTCTGGGATCATGACTTGAGCTGAAGGCAGATGTTTAACTGACTGAGCCGTCCAGGTGCCCCAGAGCAGCAAAGTTCTCATGCAAAAGCCAGATAATAAGCATTTTACGCCTTCTGGGCTATTGGGTCTCTGTTGCAACTACTCAGGCCATTATTGTATGAAAGCAGCATAGGCAGTGCATACTGGCTGAATTTAGCTATTCTCATTAAACTTTATCTTAAAAAAGTAGGTGGTGGGCAGAGTTCACCCAATGGGTTGTAGTATGCCAACTCCTGTCCTTATGTATTAAATATGTATACACCAGAAATAAAAACAGCACCTAATATTTTTTAGAGACTTAAAATACCAAATGCTTTACTAAAATGTGTTACCCATTCATTTCATTTAACCTTTACAGCTATTTTTTTTTTAAGAATTTACTTATTTATTTGACAGATCACAAGAAGGCAGAGAGGCAGGCAGAGAGAGAGGGGGAAGTAGGCTCCCTGCTGAGCAGAGAACCTGATGTGGGGGCATGATCCCAGGACCCTGAGATCATGACCTGAGTGGAAGGCAGATGCTTAACCCACTGAGCCAACCAGGCGCCCCCCCACCCTTTACAGCTATTTTTATTCTTATTTTATAGTCTCAGAAGCAGACTTAGATAAATTAAGTAACTTGCCCAAGGTTACACAGAAAATGAGTGGCAGAATTGCAACTGAACACAAGTACTCTGACCCCAGAGCCTATGCTTTTAACCATTATACTATATAGCCTAGGGTAAATTTCTTTTCCATGACAACAAAGGCTATCCATCACTTAAAACTGGTATAATCAGTGTTCTAATTTAATTGTATTATTAGAATAGCAGATTTTTTTTTAGCAAATACAATTTTACACAGAAGGCCAATGTATTGAAGAAATAATAATTTAAAATAATCTGTTAAATTTATTGAGCATTAAAAGTTCCAGGTATTATATCATCTCATTAAAAGTTTAATATTTAATAGTTGTTAATGTGTATCATTCTAAAATGGTCGTCAAGATGAAGATGTGGGTACTATAATTTTTTTTCATTTTACAATGAAAAAACTAAAACTTAGAAAAATTAGCTAATTTATTCAGGTCACACCCTGTGCAGTTATAGAGCCTGGATGTGATCTAGCAGTCTTGACTTCAAAAACATTTTATAGTTAGTATTCAGCTGTTTCTCAACCAAGCTTATTAAAATAGTCAGGAACTTAAGACCCTCCCTGCTTAACTCAGCCCTTGCCCTGGCTAGGGAAGCCTAAGGCTTTGAGGAACACTGTTTTATTTTTTTTTAATTTTTTTAAAAATTTATTTTATTTTTTTAAAAGATTTTATTTATTTATTTGACAGACAGAGATCACAAGTAGGCAGAGAGGCAGGCAGAGAGAGAGGGGGAAGCAGGCTCCCCGCTGAGCAGAGAGCCCGATGCGGGGCTCAATCCCAGGACCCTGAGATCATGACCTGAGCCGAAGGCAGAGGCTTTAACCCACTGAGCCACCCAGGCGCCCGAGGAACACTATTTTAAAGAAGTGTTTTAGGAAAAGGGAAATTGATTAAGAATTTTGAAACAATCTCATCCTTAAAGAAAAGTTGCAAGTACAGCACAATTTTTTTCCCCTGAATTATTTCAGAGTAAATTCCAATATTTGTCTCAGTTCTCCAGAATGCCTTTTATATGTCATTCCAAAGAAAGGCATTATCCTCCATAACCACAATACATCCTTAGGAAATTAACATTGACACATTTAATTCTACAACCCTATTCCTGTTCTACCAATTCTGCCAGTAAAGTTGAATTACAGGTTGAATTTAGTTGTCCCTTCTCTTCACTCTCCTCTAATCTGGAATATTTCTTCACTCTTTATTTGACTCGGCACTTTTGAAGATTACAGGCCAGTTATTTTAAAGAATGTCCCTTAATTTCGGTTTCTTTGATCTTTACAAGTAACTTCAAGTTATGCGTCTTTAGGAAAATAGCATAGAAGTGATGTTCTGTGCTTGTTATTGCATCTTACTACTTGGGGTACATGATTTGCACTTTGTCCCATTACCGATGATGTTTACTTCCATTAAATGATTAAGATAGTATCTACCAAACTTCTCCACTGAAAAGTTTCTTTCATGTTAATCAAAATTATTAATATCAGCATGGACACAGTTTACTGTTTTATTCATCTGCTCTAAATCTATTTTTTTTTGAAGATTTTATTTTTTTATTTGACAGAGAGATACACAGCGAGAGAGGGAACACAAGCAGGAGGGGTGGGAGAGGGAGATGCAGGCTTCCTGCTGAGCAGGGAGCCCAATGTGGGGCGCAGTCCCAGGACCCTGGGATTATGACCTGAGCCAAAGGCAGATGCTTAACAACTGAGCCACCCAGGTGCCCCATAAATCTATTACTGCCATCATTTGTGTCAGCACTCAAATTTCCTCAGATTTAGATAGTGGGAGTCCCCTACAGTTGACTCTTACCTTTTGACAGTGTCTGTGATTATTCGAGCAATTTCTTTTGTTCTGGAAGAAGATTCTGTGCCCCATTTCCCCAAGATCAGGTGTATTGTAGTGGACAGTAGTAGTTAGAAACCAGATCTTGTGGGGTACCTGGGTGGCTTGGTTGGTGAAGCATCTGACTCTTGATTTTGGCTGAGGTTGTGGTCTTAGGGTTGTGAGATCAAGCCCCACATTGTGCTCTCTGCTCAGCAGGGAGTCTGCTTGATTTTTCTCTCCCTCTCCTTCTGTACCTCCTCCCCAACCCCCCCCCCCCCAAAACCAGGTCTGGTATATTAAGCACACCCAGTGCACCAGATCTTGTATTGGATGTGCTCATTGCTCTGGGATGTTGCTATTTCTGAGCTTTCTCAGTGAGGGGGTATATGTACATAACACATACATACATACATAAACATATTTACATTTGTATTTATTTCTCTGTCTTCACACATACGGAAATCATAGATTCATATCGACACTTCCAGTTCTAATCTAGAGTGAACAGGGTTTATTCTAGTTTTTTCTCTTTCTATTCTTAAGCCCTTTCTTCATGAATGAGAACCTGGTTCCTTCTCTCTTATCTTTCCTTACTTATCTCATTAATCTACCTGTATGCAGTCTTCCATTTCTCTCATTGTCTCCTCCCTGACAAAGATGCCCCTTCACCCCACCTAGGCTCTCAGCCTGTCCTGTGCTGTTGTCTTTTCACTCTGTCTGTACTTCCCTATTTGCAGATAACCTTTTTTCCTGGTCTGGGTCCTGGCATCTTACATCAGTCACTCCCTTTGTGTAGGATGTTCTCTTCAACCCATTCGGGGTTTGGTGTTGCATGTCAGGCCACTTTTCTAACCTTTTTGGCTCCAGAACCTCACTGCATGGTATAAATGCCCTCTTTTATCTCCCTTTGGGCTTGACACTCCATAATAGGCTACCTTACAATGTAGATGTCTTCTCACTCCACAAAGGCTCTTATATGCTACATTGGGCCACCTTGTGGTATGGATGTCTTCATCACCCCACTCATGCTCTGACACCCCAAACCTGGTTGCTCTCCTCTTCAGAAGTTCTGCTCACTTCCATATGGACTCCGACATTGTTCTACACTTGCTTCCCTCCCCTGTGTGAATGCACTCCTTACTTTGAACAGGCTCCAGTAGCCCATTTTTGTGTATGTGCCTGTCTTTCTAGATCCTTTCTAATAGCTTTAGGACTAAATCATTCAGAAAGGGGAAGTTCTTTTTATTAGTTTTGTATTTCTTAAATTGTTTTCTAAAATCAAAATGACATTGGACACTTGTCCCTGTATTAGTGGATAATAAACTATTATATTTCAAATAGATGAAATAATAGTAAACTATAATTCTACACTTAATCTGCCTCTCTGCCCCCCTTTTAAAAAAAAAAATTAAAAATCCTTAAAAAAAATCCATCAAAAAAAAAATCTTCAAAGGAGAGCAAAACAAGAAGTGCAAAAGATCTTTAGTAATTTTGGTTGACAGTAAGTTTAATCTTAGTTAACAGTGTGACGTGGCTGCTGGAAGAACTAATATGATCTTAGGATGCAGCAATGGAAGCATAAAG